TGTGTACACCTCATTCATGGCCGCCTTCACGACGTTGCGGACCATGAACCGGGTGAACCATAGCTGCTCAAACTCCTTCCACGTGATGTGCGTGTAGAGTTCGGCGATAGTGCACTTGTGTGTAGCCGCTAGGTGGTTCATCCATCCCTGCGCTCCTCCAATCAGCTGCAGATATAGTGCCTTTAACATGTCGTCCGCCGGGACCATGCGGCATGATGCTTCCGTGAGGAARCGTTGCCACCATGACAAGGCGTCCGACTTGTTGTAGTCGTCGAACTTGCTGATGTCGAAATGCGGCATCTTGAACGTCTTTGTAGCGGCTTCCGGTCTCGTCTGTAGCTTGGTGAGGTCCGTCTTGATGGCGGCCACCGTGCTGTTGATCGAGTCTGGTCCAGTGAACGTACTTATGTCGCCGATGATGGTGACGACGTGATCGATGCGCTCGTTGAGTTGCTTCGTCACGTTTGTCGTGCAGCCTGGCGCTGCTGAGGCGTTAGCCTCTATGCTGTTGACGCGTGTGATAGTGGAATTCAACAGTTGATGCTGTTGCTGCTGCTGCGTTGCCTCTACGCGGATTGCAGTTGATAACACAGAAATGTCGTTCTTGTACGTCTGTCACTGCGTTACGTCCGTGCGCAGATGTGATTGCAGCAGTGTGTTATTCCAAATAATACCTCTCATCATGTCCAACATCAAGTTAGCCAGGTTGTTCCTCTCTGCCTCCGCCGGTGTCGAGTCTGCCTGCGCTTCCGTAGGCACAAAGATCATGCCTTGGAGTATCGTCGTCCACTGATGCTCACAAGCAATCARGGACTCCGTGCTGCTGGCATTCCGTCTGTCTCGTGTCGCCGCGTCAGTCTCAGCCGTTCGCTGAGCTTCGGCTGCCGCTTCATTGGCTAGCCGCTGACGTTCTGCCTCTGCTGCCTCCTTCCGAGCCTCGACGGCAGCTACGACTTCTGTAAATGCCAGTAGCCGCCCACGATAATCAGCCGCTGGCTCATTGGCTCCTCGGACTGGGTATGTGGGATGATCTCCGGTGGCGTCGTGTACCGTCAATGCCGTACTTGATGCTGCTGGAGTCGTCCGTCTGCTGAGTTTCTTCGGTCTTGGAGGTACTGCGGGGTGGGCACGAACTGCGATTCTGGCACTGCGTCGTGGCAGTGCCCCGGTGTCCTGTTCCGTCGACATCAGTCTGCACTGATGCGGTACTTGAGAAGTCCCGGTAATCACAGAACACGGGGGGGTAGGGAGAGTGGGAACAGGGGTAGAACAATCAAGCAATATACAYACAATCCCCTGTCCCACTGATGGACTGTAGACACCTAATCAAACGGAAAAATAATTTTCCCGTAAACCCTTCGAAAAATTCGTAATAAGGAATTTATACGATTTAATCAATAAAATTAATTAATGATAATTAAGGAAAATAAATCCGAATGATAAAGATAACCAATTAATACGAATTTGAAAGGTATTATGATTAGGTCTCTTTTGAGATTATTACGAGACCGGGAGTTCTCCGTTTAATAGGTGAACTGCCCGGTAGTTGCAATTGAAGGGTCATATACAGATTAGTTGGCAGAAAAAATTTCGGACATTTCGGTAGAGAAAAAAAAAAGCTCGAAATTTCAAAACGTGAAATTCCGGGAATTCCCACCGTCAAAATCCGATTTTTAAACGCTAAATCCGTTTTTCGGAATTTCTTCAAGAAGATGAACGAAAAATATTTCCGCGAAAACTTCAGCCCCAACCCTAATTTTCCGCGTTTCCGCCAAATTTCCGGAATTACGGTTCCAAAACGTTCGAAATTTTCCACCTTGCTTGAAACACCGAAATTTTTCGTAACCCTAATTCCAATATCGAAATATTACAGAACTACCGTTTCAGAAAACAAAATATCGGATTAAACAGAATGCTGAAAATTTTTAAAACGGAAAACCGAAACGAAAATCAAAATGCCGGATTAACAGACTACTGCTTCAACCCTAATTTCGTTTTTTTTAAAACAGAAATCCGATTTTACACATCTCGGATGGAATTTCTCGGAACCTGATTTACATGGCATACCTATTTGAAACAGAATCCGAAAGAGTAATCCAGAATGCTGAATCAAATACAAAAACAAAAGAAAAATAGCGGTAATGCCTAATTACAGAATACCGAGAAAGAAGAAATTTTGCAACTTTGAACTTGATAATACTTCAG